GAGTCAGGGAGTCAGGGAAGAGGGTTTTGTGGGGTGGAGAGGGCGTTTATTTGATAATGTGTTCAGTTTCAAAGTTACTGAAGTAAGGAACAGCTGCATCTATTATATAACTTTTGCAAAACAAATATTGCTCTTAAAAAAGGTGAAGATATTGGAAATATAGCCCTTTGAAAGACAAGGCAGGGAGTCGTAAGCACTGAAGTAATAAATGAGGCCATAAGAAGACAATGCCAAAGAAAGTCTGTGTAATTGAGCTGTGACATCTGCTACCCAACGTTTGCCAAAGTTGGCTAGCAAGAAGATTCCATCTTCCTACCCTATCCCACCATCCCAAAGTTAGGTATCCAACTGACAACCGAAGAACCCATTGACTTTAATAAATGTTATCTATAGATGTCACCTTAACTGTATACCAACTTTTAATTGAGACCTTAAATACATTCTCAATCCTCAATTAATCATTGAGGTATAAAGGTAACATTAGACAAAGACAGTTTATTTTTTTCCTTTATTTTATATTTTTGGCTTAATTTTTCCATAAAAGAAGTACCAAGTTTGTCTCACTTTAGCAAAATCTGGCAAACTTTGATTATTGACAGGCCTAAAATGCCTTTCTTTATATAAAGGATATCCTTAGAATCACCACTGTTCCCATTATCAATGTGTTCAGGTAGTATGTCAGAAACTGAAGATCTGCACTGATCTAGGCAATCCCTCACCTTATGATATGCATAAACTTCCATAGATTCATATACTGTATTTTCATTTCTCTATTTCCTATACCAATTAACTAATCTCTTTATCTCTACCTTTCATCTTCTGTGGTTTCTATGGAAGCTTATTTCACTTTCTTGAACTGGGGTTAAACTTGGATTTTTATATCCCTCAAAGATGACAGTAAAATGACTCGGTGGTACAGCTAGATCTAGACAAAACTGGGACGTTAACCAAGTTAGCTCCTTCCTCCTCCCTTAACTAACTCCTAGGGACCTATCCAATGTCTCACATTCACTTTACATGCAGGAACCCCTGCAACAGTTAAAATGAGCATTAAGCCATTAACTGATGAGGGGAGTATTATGTGAATCTTTCCAGAGAAGCTTGTATTTTAAATAAGGATTCTTCAAAGCCAGGTAGGTTGTAGCAAATAAGAAAACAATTAATTACACCTGAAGAGTCACGGGAAACCTTCACAAAGAAGATAATTAGCATTAAGCTATTTTTTTTAAACATATTTGTTTT